TCCGTCCGTTTGACTGACCCATCCTCCTAATTCTAGTTTGTTGAGGTCCGCGCGCAGTTGAAGTTTGCAGTCGTTTAAGGACGAACTGAAAAGAAATTTGTTATTTATTTTCAGTTAAACAAACAGTATGTATCGTATCAGTACCTCTTGTGAATCATGTTCAAAGTAGGTGATATGCTAGAACACTGTACATCGTACAGTTTCTCTTGCACAGGCGAGCATATAGTTTCCAATGCTTCTACTAATGTTTGCCCCTTTAAGAATTGAAGTACAGAGACTAATAACTCCTTGGTTTTTATAAAAAGTTTATTTAAATTAGCGTCTTCGTCATCTGGTACTTGAAACTTGTTGGTAAGTACCAGGCACACTTCCGTTTTCCCGAACCGCGTTAAATTCGACTCGCACGTGTTGTCGGCTAATAAATAATTGCAATATTATCTTATGTCAATTTAAATATTCTGCGATAAAGTTATCGTTCCTTACGGATTCCGAGTAAAGATGGAACAGTTGGGGCAGGACCTAGATCGTCTAGTAGATCGTGCAATGGGTCCATAGGATCTGGTGCTATTTGATCTTGATATTCCAGCATAAGACAATGAGTATCACAGATTTCCTGCAATTTTTACATTTTAAGAATTGTTCATTATCACTGAATTATAATAGGGAATCTCCTCACCTGTAACGAAATATATATCTCGGGCTTTTGAATGAGAGTGGCCTCGGTGTACTCGTGAATAGAAAAGTGCTCCTCTAAGTCTTCTACTTGGCAACAATATCTGAAGAAATGTTTGAACTTTTCGTGACACTCGATTATGAACGAATTTAAACAAACCAAATGCGTTGCTTCTTCACCAAACTGAAAGAAGTTACACGAAGTATATAACTTCACTCTTTGTTTTTAAATGTTACACGATTATAATAGTAGACGTAATTACCCCTTTCTTAGAAGCGGCAAATTGCAATATTTTCGCGATGCTAGCCAAGTTTCGTCGTTGATCATTTGACAGCGATCTATCGATCGGCAATGTGATTATATCGAAGGCATCTGGAGCTACGATAGCCGCGTTGATAAAGTGATAGTAAATTAAATTTCCAACTACTTTCAGTATATCTTTTTCTGGAGCAGTTGGAAATTTCTCGGTTAAAGAATCGTTTAATATCTTAGCTATATATAACATTCCGTACGGAATTAAATCCCGGGATTCTGTGATTTTATTTAAGAATTCTAAAACAGTACTTTGCAACAATTGTATTCCTCTGTTTAGCCGTATTCGCACTTGATCGTAATTTAAAGCTTGTTGTTGCGTTACCGTGTATGGAAGATCCCTATTAAAAAAAATAATTGTAGCAAATGACATACACATACATTTGCTTTGTGCGACTTACAATGTCTCTCCCATCTCCATTTCCAGCTGGTTTCGCCAGCACTTATAAATATCAACTGGATTTGTCTCTATACTTAATGATCGATCGGCTAAAATTTTCTCAATGATTTCTCCGACAATTTGCCTCAAAGCTCTCTGACCGTGCAATTGTCGCGCATAATTCACCACCATTTTTAAGACAAGGGGATTTCCAGTTACAACTTCAGATGGTTTTTGAAACTTAGACCTAGATATTCGATTAATATCAGCTTCTATGTACTTAATTTTCCATTGTTTTTTTTTATAGAATGTAAGGTATACCTGATTTCTTCTTGTAGCGCACTTCCAAACAATTTTAATAGTAAATATTCCTCCCTGATATTCGACCCAAAATTGAATAATGTTAAAATCACATTTTGAAGAAACTTGTTTGTTTTACTTTGAGGCAAAAGAAACAATAACTTCGACAAGTATAATGGATTAGTTTGCAACGCGTAAAATAAATGTTGATATCCTTCTAACATTTTCCGTCCCTCTTTCGTTAATGATTTTAAACCTTTGTGTGAAATAATACCATCCGATAAAATACTCTTTTGTTCTCTATTCGAATGTTTTTGCTTTGCGAGAGTTTCTAAATTTTGTCCGTGTGCTATGACATCCTATAAATTCATTAATTTACTTAATACCGAAAGTAATTTTAATATATTTAACATAGTAGTTTTGTAAGTATTACTTGTAACGTAATTCTATTTTGGATAAGAAGTCCGATTTTTATGTCCATACTATCCAACTGTTGCGACAAAGACTGATTGTGTCGTATGCTTTGTACCACTTCGTGCTTCAGATATTGTAGCTGCAAGTCTCTGTCATAATCTTCTGCATTAAAATTTAGAATTGATGCGAAATGCCGAACAACGGGAAAAGGTGGTTTCTCCATGTACAACAATGAATGGAAGGCTCGTCTCTCTGCGCGACCACGCCACAAAGCTTGTATTTTTATAATCTGTTCCTCGTGATCCCTGTAACGATCCAATATATCCGCGAACTTGGCTTTAACTTTTAAATATTTATTGTGGTATCTTTCTGTATCTCGTCTCCGTTTCTCCTCCAATAATTTCAGATATCGTTTCCGCTGAACTATACCGCGCCACCATGACTGTATTTGAATTATTTTATTTGCATTTTCGTAAAAGTACGTCAATCTATCGGAGATTCTTTTTCGTAATAAATATCCTCGAATACATGCTTGCAATCGAATTATTTGTTTATTTAGTTTATGCTCGTGTTCTTTTACGGTGGAATTTCTTACTACTCTCTGAAAGAAAAATTGTTGTTTATGACTTATTAGTTTGACTATCAACAATTTTTTAATCATGGAGTACCTTTATATCTTCCATATTGATATAATATGTTTCTGACATATTTTTTGGACAATCCCATGTATAATTATACTTCTGCAAGTCCAAATATGATTCGTTGCCTCTAGGAGTAATAAAACGGACAAGCGCGCAATCATGTCTTTGACTCTGAAACATGAAAAAGAAAAATGAAATCGAACGAAGTACTTTATCGACACACAATTTGTTTAAAAATACCTTGATTGTTCTCAAGTTACATAAACTCTGAAAACATTCATTCTTGTACATGTCTGGTATTTTGAAACCAAACGTTTGCAGACAATCAATTGTGAATAATACATCGTTTCGCTGTAAACCTAAATTTACTTGTGACAAAAACGTGCACGCTGAAAATAAACGTAAGAATGAACAAAATACTGCAAACTTAATATGAAAACTGAACAAAATGTAGATACGGTATACCATTTTGAACAGTTTCAGCTTCCGCGGCAACGACTTTAGTTATTGTTTCTACGTCTTCCAGCCATAACTCGGAACCGTCGAAATGTTTTTCCGCGAGGCATTTTTTAAATAATTTTAAATAGAGAGACGCATTGTCCGGTGAAGTAGGTTTTTGTAGTTTTAGCGCAGTATTTTTTAAAGCAGTCATAAGTTCGTTTCGATCGTTGTTAACAACGGCTGTATTTATTTGACGCAACACTTGTATCACTATAGGAAGGTGAAAGATACATTAAGAATATATAATAGAGTATGCGCGGATAATAAAAATTTATCTAATATACCATCATCGTCATTTTGACATTGTTGATTAACAACATCGATACATTCTTGGATGTCGATGTACGTTAATAAAGGGCACTCGTCCGAAATCACTTGTTTTTCACAGCGAACACCCGCTAATGCTCTATAATATTTTACCTTATTCTCGTGATCCAAACCCTACGATACGACTTTTGTAAATATGATTTTTCGTCATATTAACACAGGTAAACAATAACATTACTCACAGAGACATGACAACTTGGATTTGACAGTGCTTGATAAACCAAATCTGGATTTCCAGTGTCTACAGCCTTGCTAATTTCTGCGATCAATGAGAGTACACGTATGCTGACTATTATGTCGCTGTACGAAAGGTCGTTCTGTTATAAAATTTCATTTATATTAATGACAAGTATAATAAATCTGATGCTTTTGTACGTTCCACCGTTACCTGAGATTCCATACGATCGACTTTCATTTCTTCGTAATACAATGGCATTGCAAATTCGTCGATTCTATCTAGTAATCCAAGACTGGGATTTCTCAGAGCATCATAAAATTCACTCTGTACACCAGTTTGTAATGTTAAATTTAAGAGCTTAACGCTTTCATCACCTGCGTTGATAAACTTATTTTAGAACATCGCTCCATTGTACGGCTTTTGCTATGAAATACTAACGTTCTCGATGTTTAAGCGCGATCTCATTTGCTTCATCAATTCCTTTCTGAAGCAGCTGTTTCCAATGATAATTACTTTCTGAATACATATTATTCCATTCTGAACTTTGTTGTAGTTGCATTAATTGTTCTTTATACAATTCTGCATTTTCAGGTATGACGTTCTAATAAAAATAAACAATATTTGTAAGTAACATTACGATACAATCGACTAATAAATAAGGTGATATAAAATATATACTTGTAAGCATAAAGTAGATGATTTAAGTGTATCCATAAATTGATTATTTTTATGATGAACGGATCGAGTTAATTTGTCCACTGCACATTGAACTAGACAAAATATAATAATTAAAATACAAAGTGAACAGTTAATTACCACGTTATAACTTACCATTAACGCAATTAATATGTCCCTGAATTTCTGCTTGAGTTAATAATTCGTCGTATACGTCTGGTACATAGCTGTCATTCAAAGACTATCAAAATTATATTCATTAATAATTATTAAATATAATGCTACAAATGTACTTTTGTTTTTCATTAACTTTTACTTACTCTATTAAGCGCTGCCTGTGCTTTAGAATTTTTTGCTTCTATTAGAACCTCACTGTACTCTTTCACATAGCAAGGCACAACATTATTTAACTGTACAACTTTATTTTGAAGTGCTGCTAGTATTTTCCCATGATCCTTAAAACACAATAATTAGTCGATTGCTTAAATTAATTAATTAAACAGTTTTAAATATATAAACAAACATACTTTTTCTGCAATGGCTTGATTAATAGCTATAACAGCAGCATGAAGCGTTGCTGTATCTATCTCCATGCTATTTGCCAATAAACCTCCAATTTTTTGAAATGAAGGCATCTGAATTCCATATTTTTTCAATTCTTTACTTACAGCATTAATTTCCTCATCTGAAAAATATAAAATGCTGTGATGTTTGCAATACCTTAGTATGTGTTTTTTTTCATATAGTATGCAATTGAACAGATACCGGTAAAGTTCACTTTTCCATATAAGTCCTGAATCTGTGGAGCCTTTCCTAGTTTAAATAAATGAGTACTAAGTGCATGGATACAGTATATCACTCGAGGCATATTTTTTTTATCATAGATATCTGTTGTCTCTGGTTGAAAGGTCTGTTAAAGAATTCCTCTCATTAATAATTCCAATTGTAAATGATATTTTAAAGAGTTTGTAATAGATACATACTAATGGTAATTGCATAGACTTTATGGATTTCAAAAAATGATTGATATTGTCTGTATGACGAAATTGCAGTCCAGCTATTGCATACCGCTTCTGCTCAGGATCATAAATTTTATTGAGGGGTAGAGTCTCAGGTGCCATAAAATGAGCAAGTTTCGCCAAATATACTCCATTTCGTAAATTCTCTTCCAATTCAGTGGTAGGTGGAAGAGTTTCTCTGAGGCATGCTTCCATCCATCTACAAAATGTAAGATTATACAAGAAAGGAATAAACTAGCAAGCATATACAAATGGTTTAATAAAAAATGTACTTCTTAGCTTCTTCTAAGTGACAGAGGTATTCGTATGCAAGAGTCTTTTGACGTTGCTCGTCCATTTCTTCTGCTGATTTACGAACATCTGTTCCTACAAAATATTTTGTTATGAATGAAATACATATACACTTCGAATAATCTAACAAAATCATAAAAATACGTTCATACGAATAAATAGAGTAAGTAGAAATGGAGCAAGAACTTTTAAAGATTTAATAATTCACGACGAGAATAAGTTTTACACTTTTAAACGCTGATATTTTCGTCATTCGTAAGAGTATCAATGTCGGAACGTTTCTAATTATACATATTTCTCAAAATAATTACTTGATAACAGTGACACCGAATTTTACAAGCTACTGGAAAATTCATCTTGACATTTGTTTCCAGCCACGAGGTATGGAATAAAAGTGAAACATTCACGATCACTGTTGATCTTACCTCTTTCATGATTAATTAATTTGTTATCGATATCATTCATACCGTGGAGTGGAAGAAATATAATTAACTAAGAAAAAACTAATAACCATACGCAATAATGGAGCAGTACGTTATTTCCACGAATTCAAACTTGTTCAAATTTGCAACAGTGGAACAACACTGGTCGGAAGTACCAACCGAGGAACCGAGATACATCACGATTTTGCTTTTCATTGGACGATAGAATTTTACTGATACTCGATTGGTTTCTTCGACCACAGAATTAAAGGGCACTAGCAAACAACTTCACGTCCTGTCAATACCTCTTGTCCCGCCAATTGTTTGTTTACAAACAATGTACAATATGTGAAAATGTCTTCTAATTATTGACATTTACGAAGAAGACTAGATGTGATTCGGATTTTAATAGAATTGTCTATGTATCGTTTCCTCTGTAATACTTTCGGGTATGTTGTTTATAGTAATATAGTAAGTTAAACATGTAGATTTTTAACAATATCACATTCACTATTTGTGGTAACCCTGGACCAATTTAAATCATTTTTATCATACCTTGTACTAAATTTAATGATATTTTCTAGGTAACTGTACGTATCCCATATAAGCAACCAAAGATGAATATTGTATTAGATGAGTATGAAAAGGTACAAATTCTGATGCGAGTTCTTTAATCATTTACTTTTTCTTTATCTAAGTAACAAGTCCATACAAACTGAACTAATCAAAGCAGCACACTGCAGACTATATTAAAGCATTAGTCTGCAGAATCTTTTTTTATAAGGATCCATCCTGGGACCTGTCCTCTTTAACATATTTATAAATGACCTCCCAAACAAAAGGATTTGCCCCCCCTGGCATTGTTCATGGATGACAAGGCTCTCCTCGTCCAGCCCTCCTCTTTATTTACTAGGCACTTAACACTTCCTGTCATAATAATTGCTTCCCAAATTTGACCCTGCTCTCAGATGAGCCTCTGCAAATCTTTCCTAACTACTCATCCAGGGTATATTCCTGCACCCTGCCCAGTCTCATCGAACTAGGTCACCAATCCTCTCTACCTCTCTAGTCATTATGATGGAAGATTTTTGAAAATTTTCCCATCCACCCACATCTCCAGTCGAACAATCATGTTCCACCCTATGATGCCAATTTATTTCTCAAAAATGGAAGAGAGGTGCTTGCAAGATGCTTCCTGAAGTTGTTGCAAGTCCTCTCCTGTATTATTAAAAGTCATTGATCAAAATACTGGATCTGTAGTTTGTTATCAATGCATCTGTTATCGGTTTTACGGCTGAGATTTGTTTACATGTATTTACGCTAGTGTTTCATGAACGAGGAACCACGCGCAGCGTGCCCGTTATTCCCAGTGGAACGATGTAGAAACAAGGGGAGGCTAAGGAGGAAGCAATGCAAGAATAAGAGGAGCGGGGAACAGAAGGGGGGTCAGATAAAGCAGTTGACCCTCGCCCCTTCAATGATCCGCGAGATATCGTTCCACTAAATTCACTGACGCCGCCTACCAGTCGAATGCGTGGCCTCATCTACTGCGGGTCACACCGAACGCTATTTTTCGAGACGCTCGTTGATCCTGACTGTCTAGTGGGTCTGAGCCGGAAATGCAGTTCCCGAAGTCATTGTTTCTCGTTACTTGTTGCATCCTCGCCTGCCGATGCGATCGCCAAAAACCTCACGGTGAGTGATTCGACGTTTCATAGACTCTGAACAAGCTTTTGTCTCACGTCGGAGGATCTATGGCACGAATCGATCGCCGATGACTTGAATCAATCGTTCCGCGAACTCAATCGTTGCTCAATTATTTCTATCGTTACTCAATCTAGAGTCAAGTTCAAAGGCCGACTCGTTGCTAATGCGAAGAAGCTGCCGTTTTCTGCAACCGCTCGTGAAGCATTGTTTATTAATTTATAGAAAACAAAAGTAAATTTATTATCCAGAAATCGCTTCTTCGTTTATTCTAAATATTTTTGTTTTTCATTTAAAAATAAAATGTTACATTGTCGTTGTTTTAATTATCAAGAATATTACTTCTTATAATTTGCGGTATCCCTTTGAACCCATGCTCAAACGAAAATACTTTTCAGGCAAAAATGATACGACGACAGAAATAGCGCTCGGTGAAAAACGACTCGGGGATCATATTCGTGCGATTTTGAAGCACTATCAGCAAGATGATCCGGTGGGGCTACCTGGGGCACCAATACCGGACCCCATGCCAGTGCCAGATATGAAACACTCTTTCTCTATGTACACCATGAACTTCAAGCAGATAAACGTTTACGGTCTCTCGAAATTCCGTATCGTCCGCATGGAGTCGGAACTGGCTCTTATGCAAGTAAGGTTTTCCCTGAAGAATGCATTATAGACGGTCACTTCCGCGGTCATCTAAGAATATTTTTCAGTTCGTGAGACACGAGCTAATTATAGATTTTAAAACGTCATCTAATTGTATCGAATTGAATCGAATCAAGAGTCTTTGCCAAATTGGTTCGCATGTGAATTAACTACCCGAGTAAAAAAAGAATCCCACGATTATGACTGTGCATTCAATTTTAGAATTGATTTCTTCATTGAGAAATATTTATGTGACTTACTCGCGCAACTTTCGTCTAAGGATATTCGATAGCTCCGCAGGTCTAGCCATACATTGCTTAATTCGCATATTAATTAATTCTTGAACATAATAATAACAACGTGATTTTTGAAGGTTTCCGTGGCGTTGAGCATCCAGGCTCTGGACATTCGCGGATTATACACGTTATCCTCTTGGCTGTCGCGGTCGGCTGGCAATTTCACCGTCGAGTTAAAGGGGGTGACTGTTAAAGGTATTGCGAGGCTCGATGTCGGCACTGACGGTAAATTGCATGCCCAGGACATCGATATGGATCTAATGTTCGAGAAGATAGACATGGACTTCAAGAATTTGGGTTTTCTTGGCTCTGTTTTCCAAGGATTGATCAATTCCGTAGGAACCTTCATTTTTGACAGTATAAAACCTTTCATTTTGAAGGAGGTCAATACTAACGTACGGTAAAGAGCGATTCGTCTATAACTATCGCAATAGATGAACAATGTCTGAAGATATCTATGGCTCTATGTTTTAGGGGGGAAGTCAACAAACAGATATCCCAACTTCCGCAATACTTTCCCAACTCTATATCGCCGTTCGATATGGCGATCGCAGAAGCTCGTAAGCAAGTGTCTCAAATGGGTTACGATCCATTCAGGGTAAAGGACTATAGCCAAACCGTGGGTATATTCACCGTGACGTCGACGCATACTTGGGTCACAGGACTGGCGAGTTTCTATCGAATGGGAAACATCACCTTAAGCATGGAAAATCAGACAGTAAATAATTTCCTTTTCACGCAAATTTCATAAATGTGACTTTCTATCTTAACGACATTTGTCTGATCGTTCGCTAGTCTAGTTATCTCACGCTACTCGATCGCAATGCACGTATCTAACAGTGAACGCAAATGCAAGCCAAAGAGCTTATTACCGTAATCACATCACGTATTACGTCTTATGCATTGGAAATCAATAACACGCCGGTCAATCGGTTACAAATTGAGATACGTAATTGTCGCGTGCATTATATCACCGATTCGTAGGCGTTATCGATATCATCGCGTCGTTGTTTCCTTATAAAGGTATACGCAACAATCGACGTCGGAACTCAAGAGATCGAAGGAAGGACGCACTGGGAAGTGAGCGTCGTCGGTGGCTTCCTATCGAGGGCTGGCACGGTTTCCTTCACCATACAATATTTCAGAGTTCAATTAAAATTGAGTCAACCCTTGGACACCCGGAAACGACCTGCCCTCGAAGAACTCGAACTCGAGTTAGGCAACATTCAAACCAGAGTTCACGGCGCCGGTACCATCGATTACATAATAGAAGCCGGTGTTAATATACTGCCAAACCTTTTAAGGTGCGATGAATAATGACAAACTACTTCTGGAGTCAGGATGGAATGTTACTCATACAATGTTTACTTTGTCGACAGATATCAAATTATGGACGCGATAGAGAGACCCCTTAAAAGGCGATTGCAGCTCGAAGTGCAGAAGATAGACATTGAAAAAGTGATCAACGAGAACATTCCGAACATAGAGCAACAGGCCAGGTATCTACAAGGTCTAGTTCCTGCCGAAGAGACCAATTTAGATGAGGGAGTACCTCCTGAAGACCAGGACGAGCAACCGTTTTCAGAGAGCGAGGAAAATCGAGGACCTTCTTAAATTAACCAATTATCGCGCTTACACGACAATTACATTATTTATGATCGGATGCTAAAGCATAGAATTTTCGATCGCGTCGTCACGATGCACTTCCCGCGCCTTTTGTAAATATTTTTATATATTTTACCGAAGTAAATTTTTTTAAACATATTTCGCTCTTGAATAAAAAATTAACCCATGTATTTTCAGTGTTTAATATTTATTGGAAAAAAACTAACGAAAAGCATCATAGCGTATATTAAACCACCGTTATATTCATGCCCGATGATACATAACGAATTTCGTAGTACTAAATACTAACATTAAGAATACACATACAGTTGTTAAATACGGTTACGTATTTCGCTTTCAAGTAAAAAAGAGAAAGAAATAATACAGTGTTCAGACTTTTGTTACAACGGCGAGATTAATCGCGCGACGAGTATGAGCGCTGATTAATATATCACTATCTCGCGTTAAATGGCTCATGTTCTTTGGATGTTTGAGATAACTGAAACCTTAAGTGTACATCGTAAACAATGTATATTAATAATACGTAACAATGACGAAAAAAAAGTAATCGGCACGAGACAAATATTTAAAACGTTTAAAATCATATAATGTGTCGTTTAAGATCTTCGGTAGGAGTGATGGTACGCGAATCTTGTGTATACCGAGTAAAATGAAATTAATAAAAGTAAATATCGTGTACGAGATTACGAAGCTCTGATCGCGGGTCCGTTGCTTCGTTCGATCGGTATGATTCTTTCACCAGGAGCTGGCAGTACGAGTTTCGGAGCAGTGATAGTAAGAATTCCGTCAGAGGACAAGCTAGGTTTAACGTGGCCGATATCGTAGCCCTGTGGCAGCATGTATCGTCGTACAAAGTGTCTGGATATGTAGCCGTGTTCATCCTTCTTCTCTTCGTGTTTACCCTCGATGGTGATGCATTTATCGTCTGTTCTGACGGTGATCTCTTCTGGTGCGAACTGTTGAACGTCGACTATCACTTGGTACTTGTTTGGATCGGATTGGATCGACGCTGCGACGCTAGATTCTTGTTCCAACTGATCGAATATATTTTTCCATGGACGGAACATGTCGCCGAACTTTGGCATCGGCGGTATATCGTCCCTGGTGCTCAGTCGTTTGAAATGGTTCTCGAGTTCTCGGTGATAGCGGTCCATGTCGTCCCACCAGTTGCGGAATATATCTCTGGATATCAATGCCATATTTGCGATAGGTCTGCGGAGAATACGTGATTTATATAATTTTCGTTTGGTATATGAATTTTACAGAATTCTCGTACGAAATATTACGTGTAGAAATTCTGTGCCTTTCTGAGGTTATCTTGCCACTTTTATTTTATAAAGAAACAGTATGATATTTTTACTTAAACTATAGTTAGAAAGTATCGAATACGAAGGCACGGAATATACTACGCCCAATATTACTGATAAGATAATTTCGAAATCTCCTTGTACCAACGATTATTTTGGAAACTTCCTTTTGAAGGACAATGCGTATAGGTTAAAAAAAACAATCAGCTGATGTTTGCTAGATACAATGTCGGGATACAATATGCCGGTGACATATATTCGACGTTTACTTCATACGAGAAATTCGTTGCTGTAAACTTTGTTTGTACCAGAAACATATGTGGTCAAAGTCGGGCAAAAGTAACAAATAAAAATAAAATTTCAATTCTCAATAACCAGATAATATCAGATATCATTAAAAATGTCTACACAGTAATGGTAACATCACATACATGTTGTGTGAACAGCCGTTAAAGTGTTAACGTTCCAACGTATACTTGATTTTGGCAAATGCGTCACGATCGCGAAGAGAAACAGTTCGGTTGGTGCCAACGATCATAAAGTTATATATTGCATCTCGAAAACGCACATATTACTGGCAAAACAAGCATCAAGGTCAAGTATGAGACTCAATTTAGACCGAAAGTTTAAATACGTCTTTTTATTAATACTTTTACCATTTAAATAATGTAAATATACACTCGTATAATAAATGCCGAACTCTGTTTCCTGCGTCTATTTTTACATCGGCGAAACGAACGGTCGCTAAACGTAAGGTCAACGTTTGCCCGGACTTTAGAACCAGCGATAATTATCATCGAAAGGTGTACACAAGATATACGTTAAAATCGGTTATCGAGTGTAATCAAGAAAGTAGTCAAACAGTATAAAAAAATAAAAATGGCATCGAATTTTGATAAGGTGTACCCTAACATTGTTTAAAACGTTAGCAAAACGTTCGATGAAATTATACAAGAGTACGTACCTTTCGTTGCACAACGTTTAACTTTCGTTTCAAGGCTCACTCGCGTAGAATACGAATAAGAATCGTTTTTCACTTCGTGTGAAGTTAATCGTTCGGTAGTCACCACGAAATTGCACAAAGTTGGCGCTTCGAGTTGTAGTTTCTGACTGCGCAGAAATGGTGGCCGCCGGTTTATATATTTGGTTTGCCGCTCTTTCGAGATTTTTCGAGACGAGTCTGCGCATATCAGACGCATTTCGAACAATCTCGAGTCCACACTGAACGTCGCGACGTTCGTTCGCCCCCACCTCGTCGTGTTTTCACCAATCTGGACGTTCTTAGACTCGTTTCCGTTTCCCGTTTCTTCGAGCAATTTCCTAGGACGTTCTTGGCGCGATCAGAATTTTTCCAGTGTGTTCGACAATTTTCCACAGCTTTTTCATGTATCGTCAATGCGTTTCCACCGTGGCCACGTATACGTACGTCTATAATTTGCGTGTCTTTATATCAATGATATTTTTCCGAATTTCTGCGTCCACATTTTCCACTGACAAATCAACTTTTAAACTGCGTTACATAGGGACGAATCTAGGCTTCGACAGTGCCCCTAACTTTCTAATTAAATAGTTGGATGTCCTTATGAGAATTTTTGTAGGAATTTTTCTTTCGGTACAAAATCTACATGTATATAATTTCAAAAGAAAATTAATTACTCAAAGTATTAATTAATAAGGGGCCCAGGAAATTTAGATCCGCTACTGATGATAGTTTCAACTGTTTCCATTTGGTATCTGGTCTTACTTTCTCCAAAGTCAAACTCGTTTCTTTTCAAATCGAGTCAAACTCGACTAATTTATATTTACCAAAACCATCGATTCCACGGCAATTAGTCATTTAAGAAACCGTATGTCGTTCTAAAAATAATTGTCTGCCGCGGACATTCAATAGATGACGAACACATTTATTCTGGGATTTGTTCGACGGAGACGTCGATTTCACCGGGCAACAATAAGAAAACGAAGAATACAGATATTTATTAGAGCAATCGAAACGCTAAAGAAAAAAAAAGAAAAAAAAAAACAGTCGATCGATTTAGAATTCGAATTCACGACCTAAAGATAAACAACAGACACGGTCGACTGTACGATGGTGCCCTCTGCGCGCCCTAGAGGAGAAGTTAACTAACTCCGAGAAGTTAAGTAACTCTACTGTTGGTAAAGCAGAGGGACAAACGTAAAGGCGGCAATATTTTGTATTCAACAGTAGAATTTCTGCCATTGAGGAAGTATTCTGAGGAAAAAAAAACCTGACGAAATAAAGTAAATGGACGTTTTTGCACGTTTCAAATATTATCTATATTACATTTATTCTATTAGGTCGTCCCATAAGTTCGTGCCGAAAACTGTGTCGAAATTTAATAAAAAACCACAGAAATTTTCTAGTAACGGTACAATGACTATCTGAGAGAGGTGAGAAACTATTGTGAAATGAGACAGATTATCTTTTCTTGTGACACTTAAGAATGTGTTTCACATATTAATTTGAGAAATAGAAGTATAAATGGCACGAACTTTTAGGACGACCTAATATAATATTACATTACACCACAGTCTCAACTCGTCGAGTATTCTGTACAATACACAATATGGAGAACTTAATTATTCTAAAGTTTCCGTGGATGGAGGACCTTGTACGGATTTAGTATACCATTAGGATCCATCATAGACTTCAGATCTTGCATGAGCTCGATCTCGGAAGGCGTTCTGCTCATCTGCAGATACTTCGTTTTCATAAATCCTATACCGTGCTCGGCGCTGACGCTTCCGCGAAGTTTCGAAACGTACTCGAAGATGAATGGCTCTATCTGGGACGCTATATTAGCGTCGTAAGACGGTATGCAAATTTGCACGTGGAGATTTCCGTCGCCTAACGTACGAACAAAAAGTGAAATGAGGAGAAGTTAAATTGCAACGTGTCGTTGTCGAAAGAGAATAGAATACCCACCCATGTGCCCGTAACCGCTGATCTTTTTGATGCTCGGATCGCGCAAACGTTTCCTGAGAACCTCGATCACCTCGTAGAAGGATAAATAAGGTATCGAGATGTCGTATTTAAACACGTAGCCTTCTTTCAGTATAGCGTCGCTGATGTGCTCCCTGATCGACCACATGTACTGAAAAAAAGAACGGTGATTCTAATTTTTGCTGTCGCGTTGTAGATTGATCATCGCAACGAAAGCTTCAACGTACGAATTATGGATAAACGGTCTGGGTCTGGATCGGTTCGGAATCAGGTCAGGTCTGAAAGGTTCGAAGACAGGTACGTTATCTCGCAGAAGAACACCGTTGCTTTCATTTTAGAACTAACTTTTATTTTAGCAGGATCCGACGTCAGGGTGCCGTCCTCGATTATGTCGTCGGCGAGAGCCTTCTCCACGAAGGCCGCGAGCTTCTCCTCGTCGTGGTTCGCGTTGCTCCCCGAGGTCTCCAACAGGATGTAGAAGTCGTGGCCGTCGGGCTTCGACGTCAACGGGCTCTTCATGTTGTACACTTGGACGGAAGTGTTCAGGGATAGTCTGTCCATCAACTCGAAGGAGGACAGGATTTCCCCGAGTTCCTTTTTAGCCAGCTGGAACGTTTTCAGCGCGTGGTCGAAGCTACGCAAGCCTAGAATCAGAGAAGCAAGGATTCGAGGAATTTTGGAAACACGTAGTTGTCTCGAATCCTGAAGGTATTGGGTTCTCCGGAAACTTCGTGCCTATCTTTAAGAAAAATTCAAAGGCTTATTTGAATTTTCATGTATATTTATTGAATTATATATGTATCATTTTGTTCCACAACTTTTCCACCTTTTAAGAAATGTACACATGTCATTTGTTTTCAGTCATTCCGACATATTCAGACCTGTACCGTCTAGTAGAGATCGGCATGGACTTTCCAAACAGCCCAATAACTGGGAAATTTACTAGGACGATAGTAAACATTCGATACCTAAGAACGCGACGTTCGTAGCTTTAGGAAGAGGTGGACATTGGATCGCGACTTTCGTCACGACTCCCAGGGTTCCCTCGGATCCTATGAACAAGTGCTTCAAATGGTAGCCGGTGTTGTTCTTCTTCAGCGTGTTCAAGCAGTCCACCACGTCCCCGTTCGCTTTCACCTAGAAGAAGCCGACTCTGAGCAAGGGAATCGCTATCGTGGCGGCGCGTCTTTCTCCGAAACTCACTGCCTCGAGGCCCAGCACGTTCCCGTGCAGGTTCCCGTAACGGAAAAGCCTGACACCTCCGGCGTTCGTGGACACGCAACCGCCGATCAAGCAGCTACCCTTGGCGCCTAGATCGATGGGCATCATCAACCCCGCGGTCGACAGGTGATTGTCCAGGTCCTCCAGGACGCAGCCAGCCTCACAGGTCAGCACCCCTAAATTCGAAGGACGATGAAACCAGATCGTTTCCTTCTTTGGAAAGTGTTCAAGAGAGGAAACGAGACAAACATATCGGCAAACTTCAGATTTATTCGAAGCCTAGGGTTTTGCTCATCTCTGCGTGAAACAGAGGTAGCCGAGGAGATAACGCGTACCCAACGCGAAACAAAAATCTCTAAAATAAAAAAGAGACCGTTGCAGCCGAGGATCGGACTTCACCAACCTGCCAGCTCGTTCGTCTCGATGATTCGGTTCATGAGCTTCATGGAGAGAACGATCTCGTCGAACACGGGCACGCTGCCACCCACGAGACCGGTGTTTCCGCTTTGAGGGCACACGGCCAACCGTTTCTCGTTGCAATACCTCAGTATGGCGGACACTTCCTCCGTCGTTTTCGGCTTCAGCACCAGACTGCTCTTACCTGGAAACGGATTCGTATCGAGCTGATACGCGTGACGTGTTTGGACGCGGCGAAAGGTCAGAGGTCATCGACGACGCAACGAAGATCGGATTTACCGCGACGCAAAATGGAGAGGGTGTACCCTTCGGGTTTACTCGCAGAGGATGAAGAGGGGACTGAGGGGGTACAAGAGATTTAATAGAAGACCAATTTCGCCGAGAAGGATGGTCGTGCACGAAATCGAGAGGAATACTTTTATAGAAGGAAAGATATATACGAGGTGTCCACGCTAAAGTGTGACAGACGCATATCTCAATAACTATCGACGATACGAAAAAATTGTTTATATGTAAATTACAGGATACAATGGGCTCTATAGCGTAGCGTAAACGGAACTTTTTTTCTACTATTACTTTAAAAGATATAATAGTGAAGTTTCGTTTTTTAAATGGAACTATATATTTTTGGAGGGATAATGCGATAATGCTTTTCGAAACGAATTCATTGATCCTTAACCTACTTACCTGATTTTTATTAATTTTTCTGGGTTGAAGGTCATTCGTAGGTCATATTGTATTGCATGGATGAATTCGTTATTTTGTCAGCTACAACATTACGTTAACGAATGCAATTCTAGCACAGACTCGGGCATAATTTATCCCTGACATTGTAAAATATTTCGTCTTGGGGAGTGGGGGAGACAGACATGATCGTAATAGTTTATTATTTATTCGTTATCGGAAGCTTCTGTCTTCGCAAGAATTCTATCGATTTCGTGACCGAGATCTCGCGATATCTACTAATTGGATTTTAATTAAGTCGATTTATTTCTTAAAAGAGCGAACCGCAGCGATCGCCAGTTCCAGCTTACCTCTGACGATTCTCGCGTAATCTATGTTGTAATCCTCGCACTCCTCCGCGTTCGAGAGCACCCTGTTGCGACCGAGCAGACCATCGAAGAAGGTCGCGTGCTCGTCCGAGATCCTAGCGTAGGGTCCTCGTTGCACCTTGTACCTGTCGCACGTGAACGCCGGTTTCTCGATCGTCGAGAACGAACGGAAACTCGTGGCGTTGCGAAACGCGCGTAATTGGGAGCGAGTCCACATAACCTGGAAAAGGTTCGTCGTTCTTTTCACTTTGTCGTCACCGAATCTGCACGCGACCTCGGAGTAATTTTATTCGAACAATGACCGACAAATAAAAATCCATTCGCGCGTTTACTCGACTTGACCGTTTGACTGCGGGACGATTTTTGCTTGGAATTCCGAGAGGCGTAGAGGTAGGAATTTTAACAAAAATATCAATTTATAGGGAATGATAAGACGGAACTTTTTTATATTTACGAGTTTAT